TAATTACATTCACAACTTTTTCTGTATGTTTCATTTTGTGAAATAATATTCTGCTTTCTACAGTTCTTAGGGCGTGACAAAGATGATGGAGTTCGTCGTAGTGCTGTCTCTGGCAAAAAGGTAAGCATTTTTTTTGGGTAATATATATCTTGACCATTTGCAAAGATTTATAAGAGATTTTAGGGGCATCTGCGACCATCTATCCTCCCTTGTGCTGGCTAGATAAAAAAGAAGAGAAATTTTGTTCTTTGGTGTTGCAGATTCTATTGAAACTTGAGAAGACAAAGGAGGACAAAGCGGCTGAAAACAAAAGGAATGAACTGCTGAAGTTCTTAAATGCTAGTTTTGATTGATGTTGTGGAGTCCATGGAATCAACAAGTGAATGAAGGAATTGAGTCGAGTTCCAGCTGCTTGCTTATCTTAAAGATTTTGAAGGATTTTCCATGAGTTCCAAGTTTAGTGTGGAGTCACATTTTATACTTGTGTTTCTGTTATCGGTGATGAATTTAAAACATTGTTAAATTAGAGTCATGGGCTAATTACCTTTGATTTGGGCGTTGTATTTTATTGAATTGGTACTGCCATTACATATTAACTTATATCAAGGATTCACCATTAAGCTTTTAAGGTAGTCAGTATGGCGAATTTGTTAGCTCTCTTTCTTAACATTTTTAGCTTTTCTTGTCCATGCATATATTCTAGCACATAGGTCTTCTTGGAAACCTATTCTCTGTGAAAATTGTTTCCAGGATTACATTTGTGCATAAATCAAAATAAAAATCCTTTCTGCTTGAACCTTCTCCTTAAAACCCATGGAGATGTGTTCCAATGTTTATTGGATAACATTTTGTTTTCTTAATCCATTTCAATATTTTGATTTTTCCCTTTCACCTGGAATGTTCTGTTGCTGTTACGATGCGCTTTTTTATATTTATTGGCCGTTGATAATTTTTCTTGTGATTTTATATCAGTAAGCATGTACAAATATTTGGATCCCAATTTCTAGCTCGGATTGAAAAAATTAAAAAGAAAGTGAAAAAAATGAGGTTCTTGGTTCAACTGTATTAGTTCATATTGAGGTATGCATATTAATCTTTGACGTACCGTTTCTGTTTGTTATTCAATTTAGTGTTGTTGATATTGTTTTTGAAATCCATTCTGTTTCTTGAGATGTGATTGATTTATGTATTTTGTTCTGTTCAAAGTTCTGCTATTACACTGTTATTGCTCGACTATTAGTGCACCAATGTTAATAGACTTTTTTCACATAATTTGAAATTGAAAAGCACCTAACTTGGCTTGATATCATGCAACTGTTGGAGAGGATGAATACAATGGATTAGTAATCTTTCTACACCATGATTGCCTTCAATGCTCAAGGTGAATGCACTGCAGAAAATATACTAATTATGTCTGGTGGGTGTGGGATTTTGTGTTGGTGGGTTGTTCTGTTCTGCTCCTTGTGTTGTAGTGTCTTCATTTTCTGTTGTTGATGCGAGTTCTTTTGCCTTTGACTTGTTTGCTTTGGTCTTGTACCTTAGCCTTATGAGTTGTTTGTATGGCATCCGGTAAACCAAGTAGTAAATCAGTGTACTATTGTTGCTGGGTAATAGCTGGGAGAAGAAAGACATCAAGCATTGAGTTATTTAACTTGTTTTTATAGTGGGCATCTATTTTGGCAGAAGAAAGACGGCGTGCATGACATTGGTACACTTGCTCATTCGTTTGCTAGCATAGCAATGTATAGGGTGAGAAACAAAGAGCGTCTAGGTATGAAAGATTTACCCAGATCTAGATAAGCTCTGCATTGCATTACATTGCATGCAACATCTTTCAATTAATTTTGTTGGTCGGAGATTGTGGTTTTGCTGCGCGAGTCTATTGCATGGTATGATTAGCTTCAAAATTTAGCAGAATCAGAATTTTTGGAAGATTTATTTTGAGATTTTACCCTTCTTCTCGTCTTTGTTGATGAATGGTGCTCTTTTTGTAGCTTTCTGCGTTGGTTTGATGCTTTTTCTGACATTTCGAATGTCTTGTAAGTTTGGAGATCGATGGTTGGCTGTGTGGTGGGTTTCAGATCGTGGAGAGAGAATCAGACCCCGAATTTTGGGTTGTGTGCTGAAGGGAGGGTTTGGATATTTGCGGTGCCAGACCTGTAAACTTGTTTGGGTGGTTTTGAAAATGGGCTTTGGGGTTATTTTGAGATCACAACTATAAATCTCTAGCATAAACCAGCCATAATTTATAACTAGTCTATTTGCACGCGTTTCCGCACCAGTTAGAGGTCTTTTTTAAAAAAATTTAAATTTATTTTAGAATTAAAAATATAATGGATGATTGTATTTCATAAAAATATAATCCATTATTTGATTTTTTTCTTTTAATTTTAATTTTTTTTAATATGAAAAAGTGTGAATTTATCATATTATCTTCATTTAATTAATAATTTTAATTCTTAATGTTTGCATTAATCAAGGGCATTTTCTAGCATTTTGAATGTTTCAGCATTCTTTGCCTTTTGCTTTATATATATAGATAATCCGGGCACAATAACCCAAGTTTTGCTTCTTTTTTTCTTGGCAAGACTAGAAAGTAAATATAACAATTAAAAGCAAACTGCGAAAAACATGCAAGCTCCCAGTTGGGTGTTACATGGCAAGAAAAATCTAGAGAGAATATAATTACCAGAATCTGCTGTTCTGTAGCAGAGTTGCTTATGCTTGATGCGTCCTGTTTATGCATGCCTGATTATACCAGTGTGAAGAAAAAGAAATGTTACAAGTCCACTAGGAACCTCAACAGGTAAAAAACACCATAGTTCCAGTAATAAAGAAACTCTTCATCTAACAAGACATTGTACTCGGGATTCTCCTGCTTGTATTATAATTATAGTTATCATCAGCCTGAGGTTATACACCACAATGTCAGGACAATGGATGTCAGGACAATGGATTCCAAATACGGAAGAAAAAAATTATCAGAAAATTGAAGTTTAAGGATAAAGTTTAGATGCCACTTAAGAAAAAGGATTCTTATTGGCACTGCGCTTGTTCTATTTTTTTTAGGGTTAACTTCAAAAGAACCCAAAAAGGTTTGGAGTCATTCTCAATATGGGTTATCGAGTTTCAATTTAATTATTTTACACTCCATGGTTTTTAAATTTGACCAATTTACGCCTTCCGTTAAGTTGACCGTTCAGTTAGACGTTAACTGATAACATGTTCAAAAAATCTTCCAAGAAATTCTTACCCCGAGATTGCCTATGTCTGTCCACGTTCAGGGCACGACGACGGTGGTGTTGCCTTGATTCACTGAGTATACACACCGCTATAACCATTTCTTCCTCCTCTTCATCGGCCTCACGATCTTCTTCAGCACGTCTATGCCTGATTTCTTCCTCTTCTCGCCTCTCCAACACCCTTCTCAGGTTAGACATTAAGAGTAGAATATGTAAAATCTGAGAAATGAAAGAATAGAAAAGATATGATGGGAGAGGTATGAGTTGATGGTGTAATTTTATAGATGGATTTAGACGATAGAGATTATACGTGGCACAATTTTAGAGAGTAAAAATTTTATCTTAAATATGAGATTATATATATATATAAAATAAATATTCGAAAATCTTATCTGAAATAAGTCACGTGGCAACTGAGAATCTCATCCGAAAATTTTATCTGAAATTTGATGGACACGTGGCAACCGAAAATTTAATTGTAAAATTTTATCCGAAAATGTTATATGAAATGTTATGTGAGAATTTTATAATAAATAGTGACATGTGGCAACCGAAAATTTAATTGTAAAATTTTATCCGAAAATGTTATATGAAATGTTATGTGAGAATTTTATAATAAATAGTGACATGTGGCAACCGAAAATTTAATTGTAAAATTTTATCCGAAAATGTTATATGAAATGTTATGTGAGAATTTTATAATAAATAGTGACATGTGGCAACCGAAAATTTAATTGTAAAATTTTATCCGAAAATGTTATATGAAATGTTATGTGAGAATTTTATAATAAATAGTGACATGTGGCAACCGAAAATTTAATTGTAAAATTTTATCCGAAAATGTTATATGAAATGTTATGTGAGAATTTTATAATAAATAGTGACATGTGGCAACCGAAAATATTATCTGAAAAGCTATCAAAATTAATAGTTAAGTATAAAAAAATAGAAAATAAAGTAAAGTCAATAGTGTTTGCCCTTACCCTTTCCCTTCGGGGTGGAACCAAAAAAGGCAAGGCTGATACTATTCACATAAATAGTGTCAAACCTTGCCTTGCCTTTGCCTGACCCTTGTCTTTTGAGGTGGGTGCTCTACCGGACTATACTACCACCAAACCCCCCCAACCTCTAATTCCCAAATTAGTCTTGCACTCCCTCTTTCAAACCCTAAGCCACTACCCCTACCGCCACTCCACCGAAGCAGATCACCTCCTGCTGCTGCAACAGCCCTTGTGTTGCCATCGCCTCCCATAATTTCAAGTGAGTAGAATTTCTATATATTTGTTTAAAATAATGAAATTGATATATGTAGTGTTTTTTTATGGATTAGAATTTGTTAATATGATATTTACATTGATTGATGTTGTTATTTGGATGAGAGTTTATAATTGATTGATTGTTACGCTTTTGATTTATTTATTGATATGGTTATATTGATGATGTGTTTGGACCGTCGACAATTGTTGTTGAATGTGAGTGAACAGCCGATTGACCTGCATAATTGATGCGGCAAAAGACAATATCTCACAGATCAAATATCAAGGTGAAAACTTGGGATGTATCAGAAGAAACAGCAACAAGATTTGCATATTCTATTACGTCCAGCCCATTGACGAGCCCTAGAAAGCCCAGCGCATTGACGAGCCCTAGAAAGCCCAGCCCCTTGACGTTGACGACCCCTAACCTATTCTATTACGTTCTCATCTATAAAATGACGCCACATCTCTAACCCTAAAAGTTTTCACTCTTTGGGCGCCGCACCCTCCCATTCTGCAATCTCCGCTTCTCGACTTCTTTTTCTTGCACTGTGCCACTGTCTACTCTTCTGCTTTCATCTCATGCTCAGTTTCCCTGGTTCAGTTCTTTCTCAGCCAAATGGACATCTCTAGACTAGTTCTGTTCAACTCTCAAACAGTTACAGCTTTGCCTCTTCTTCTCTGTCACTGTAAGTTGTGAGAGCCTTGAACTTCAAATCCATCTAAGCTTTTGAATTTGCTCTGAAGAAACAGCAACAAGATCTGCATATTTACTCTGCATGTGCATCAGGAGCCCTGCATACAAACACAGCCGGCCATTTTTCCTCATCTCTTCGCTCGTATTGTGAGAATAATTGTATATATTTGAAGTTTTGCTAACCGGAAGAGGTGTTTGTGGTGGATCGAGTCGGATCGACGCAGATCGAACAAAATCAAATGGAATTGGATCGCAACCGAGCGTTGACGCGGATTCGAGAGGAGTATAGAGAGATTGAATCCAATCCCTCTGACGATTTCATGTGCGGCCAGCTCGAGCGGGAAGAATTTCAATTTCAATGGCAATTTGCAGTCAGAGGCGCTAAAGGAACTGAATTCGAGGGTGGGATTTATCATGGGCGTGTCCTGTTTTCGGGGGAATACCCATCTAAGCCTCCTTCAATCATACCTTTGACGGAAAATGGTCGCTTCAAAACCCATACCGAGATCTGTTTAAGGCGACTGGATAAATGGAAGCCATCATGTAGGGTGCGAGATGTTTTGGTTGATTTCATTCATTCAATGCCCACCAACCCAGATGATGAATTGTGTTCATTAAAATGCAGTAAGGAAGAAAGGCTTGCCCTGGCCATCAAATCGCGTGCAGCAGCCACAAAAGATAGCCCTTTTGACTTTGAACGTCAGAAGTTAATTGATCAGATTCATAAATATATGCTAAGCAAGGCACCAGCTGTTCCTTTTCCTTCCAACGGCACAGGGAGCGGTGCTGTTGTCTACAACGTCCCCAACGGCACAGGTGGCGGCGTTGTTGTCTACAACTTCTCCAACGGCACAGGCGGCGGCGCTGCTGTCTACAACTTCTCCAACGGCACAGGCGGCAACGTTATTGGGAATGCATTTCAAGCTACCAATTCCGACAGGGTTGGAATTTTGGGTTCTATGAATGAGGCCGCGGTTGGAATTTTGGGTTCTATGAATGAGGCCTTCATCAGGGGTGGAGGCCCATTGGTAACAGTGTGCTCCCGGACTACCATTTCTACCATTATCTCTATTTTTTTAGTTTTACTTTCTGTCCTCCAAACACTCCAAACACTTTTAGAGTTGGAGATGTTACCAAATATCAAATTTAAATTTGATGGATGATGTAGCTATTTGACATCTTATACAGTTTTACACTCTATTCGATATGTCAAATTAAATTATTATTTTATTACATTTTAGTGTTAATTTATTTTAAATTAAAAAGAAAAGAAAAAATAATAAAATATTCATTTGACATCTTACTTTTGGGATGTCAAAAATAACATCTCAACCTCCAGCCTTCATTTCACATTAGCTTTGACACATCGGTTGGAGTGATTTGATTTCAACAACTTTGTTGTCATCAGCTGAGAGAGAGTACTGAATATTGCATTTCTGGGCTCTTGCATTTTATTCTTCTTTCATATCAAGTCAAACCTTTCCTCTCTACTTCTCGAGGCAATCAGGCTTTTTAAAGGAAAAGAAAAATGCATGTAGAACAAATCTGCCTTTCAATGAGCGATATGTTTACTTTGTTTCTCTGTTTCTCGCATGCGGCTGTTGCAACTATGGAGGTTACTTTGTTTCTCTGTTTCTCGCATGCGGCTGTTGCAACTATGGAGGTTGGAGTTCTTCTTTTTGGTTCCCCTTACTGGACTACTACAACCGACTGATGCCGCCATCTTCATTACTATGTGTTTCTTCATTCAAATCTTGCTATGCTGTGTGCGCTCGATTTGCGGGGGAGTATTAGGGAGTTACAATAGTATTTTAGTTACAATAGTTAATTCTATTAATGATAGAAAATGGTCGGTTGTTAGTTACGTTGTTGTTAGGCCACAACTTCATATTTATGTTTATAATAATGGCTTGTTGTAATTGTAGATTATTCTCTACAAACTTGTATATATATATATATATTGTATAATGATCATATGAATAATACAAGGGAAAATAAGTTCTACAGAAACTCTTCATCTAACTGGAACAGCTAATAAGACATTGTACTCAGGATCCTCCTACTTGTGTTATAATTATCGTTATCATCAGCCTGAGGTTATACACCGCAATGTCAGGACAATGGATTACAAATACAGAATAAAAAAAATTATCAGAAAATTGAAGTGTAAGGGTTTAGATGTCACTTAAGAAAAAGGAACATATTCGTGGTCTTGAGTCCAGTGATTGATGAAGATTCTTATTATCATATCTGTAAGTCTAGAAATTTCTTTGTCCTTCTCCTCAATCATTTTATCAGCAGGATCACGAAATGAAATGAACTGTGCTCCTCCTAAAATGATGAATACAATTAAGGGAACCCAAAAATTTAAACATTGTACAGGAGCAAAAACAGAGAGATTAAAGCAAATTACCTTCCAATTTTTATACCGTAATTTGAGGTCTTTCAATTTTTTATTTTTTATTTTAAATCTTCTCCAGAAGATGCTTCATTTTGAGCTCTCAGTGTGTCACATCTTACTGCAAAAATTATTATCTCAAGAATAACTCCATTCAAACTTTGAACAATAAGCATTTCCTATAACAAGCAATAGGATAAAAATTGTTGGAGGGAAAAAAAAAATCAATAAGCATTTCCTGTAACCTTAGCCAGGATGGGGTTGTCTAATGGCAGGCATGCCAACTGAAAAGCTCAAGTGATTCATACTCATGCAACCCTTCCACCTTAAACATTGCACAATTCTCATAAGCCTTTAACAAATGTTATGTATAGTTGTTATGATTATTTTACTTCCTCGATGAAGCCAGAAGCCATTCTCGCATTCCAAGAATTGCATTGAATTGTTCCAGGTTGTCCACATCATCAAGAGCAATAAGAACTCTTGTGCAACGTATCACCCGTTTGATCTTTGTTATTCCTTCATCCAAGCTGTATATTCCCTTTTGGAGATCTGAAAGAATGTTCCTTTGCAAGTGAACCAAACCATTGGGAAGTTTTGAAGTTGCTCTAATATCTGCAAGAAAGCTGCTACCTTGAAATTTATAGAAGTTCTGGTTATAAGCAGTCTTGGCAACGGTGGTCTTGCCAATTAATAGGATTGTGTTTTTTCAAATTCACATGGTGGGTGAGAAGTTAAGGTGGGTGGAGAAATATGACAGGAGTTGGAAATAGTAGTATTCATATATAAATCATGAGGAATGTCACACATATACAGAGAAAGAAAGCAGAACACGTAAGAGGAAAAGGGCATTAAACTTGGCGTTTATGTAGGAATTATTTTTATTTTTTTAATTTATGTTTTTTTAGGAAATATATTTATATGTTTTAATTAAGAGAAAAACTAAAGTCGAGGATACAGTACGGATCCCTAATGGATTCGCAAAGAGAATTTGCTTGAATTAATAATTAAAAGATATTTTAGGAATAATAGTGGATAGAAAGATACGATTATGTTTTTTCAATTTTACATAATGGGTGGGGAAATAGAATAAGGGGTGAAAATTGTAGCATTATATTTAAATCACAATGAATATCACACATATACATAAATAAATCAATTAACAAAACATTTTGTTCTCATGTGAGGAATTGACCCAAATAAGCAAAGTATTGATGATTATTGATTATTATTCTTCTTTTTTATTATTATCTAAATTTGGGCAAAAAACAAGGAGCAGAAAACTTTAAAACTTTGGACTGTTGAAAAAAGAAAACTCAGAGTGGTTTGACTAAGAGAAAGAACGAAAGAAAGAAAGAAAGATGTGTTCTTTAGGAGTCTTGGTGTTGACTCTTTCAAGCTTTCTTTGCTTGTTACTGGTCTTAGTTCTCATAAAGATCCTTCACAAGCTATGGTGGACTCCAACTCGCATGCAGAAGCAGATGGGTCTGCAGGGGATCCAAGGCCCTCCTTACAGACTCATCCACGGAAACAACAAAGAAATTTCCCAGATGATGAAAGAAGCCATGGCCAGGCCCAAAAGTATATCCCACGACACACTTCCTTTAGTCCAACCTCACATTCACTACTGGACCAAGATTTATGGTAAGAAATTATCTCAATTAGCTAGCTTTTTGGTTTTTTTTGTTGTTGTGGTTTTGTTCCAAGTATTAAATATTGGTCATCTTTATCAACAGGAAAGAATTATCTGCAGTGGCATGGTTCTCAAGCTCAATTGGTGATCACAGAACCCGAATTGTGCAAACAGATACTGAATAACAAAGATGGAGCTTATCCAAAAAAAGAGGTCCAAAACTTTGTAAAGAAGCTATTAGGAGATGGCCTGGTGTCAACAACCAAAGCTGAAAAATGGGAAAAATTGAGAAAGTTGGCCACTCTTTACTTCCATGGAGAGAGCTTAAAAGTAAGTTTCTTTGCCGTTGATGGTAATTTCTTGCAAAGAGTAGTGTAGTAAATTAGGTATGGTAGTGAAGTTATATCTGATCTGATGGGATGGTATTGTTTTACTAGAGTATGATTCCAGCAATGGTAGCTAGTACTGAGACAATGCTAGGAAGGTGGACAAATTATGAAGGAAAAGAGATTGATGTGCTTCAAGAGTTTAGGTTGTTGACTTCAGAAGTGATTTCCAGAACAGCTTTTGGCAGCAGCTATATCGAAGGAAAGCATATTTTTGAGATGTTGACCAAGTTAGGCTTCATAATCTACCAAAATTATCTTGCAATCAGGGTTCCTGTCATTAGGTAACTTCATTTCAACTAAATCATTGGGGAACCGCATGGATAGCCATTCAATCTCCGTTCTCTTAGTTATTGATTGATTGATTGATTAATGTTTGACATTCTTACCTCTCAATATAAATGGCATCCGAATGATCTTTGGTTGGTCAATTTCGGGATCCATTCAATTTGGTAGCATACACTATGTACCTTACTGTAGATTCATGCCTAAAAAATTCTCTCTGTATCTTCTTCAAAAAATCTGACTCATGCTTATGCTCTCCCTAAAATAGAAGAGATATTGATGCAAATACAAAATTTGAATTCAGCACAAATTTGCACTATAGCCAGGAGAAACATACTCAATCGAATTTGCAATATATAGCTGGGAGAAACATACTCAATTTCATTTTCATTGTATAGTTGGCGCATTATGCAGAGAACCATTCTTCTGTTATTGTTTTCCCATATGAGTGAGCATTACTTCTGTTCTCATGTTTAGTCTTTCTTTGAAAATTGCAGTAAGTTCTTCAAAACCAGTGATGAGATAGAATCGGACAAACTTGAGAAAGGTATACGGGACTCTATAATAGAGATTATTAAGACAAGAGAAGAGAAGGCAATGTCCGGAGTAGAAGACAGATTTGGAAGTGATTATCTTGGATTACTTGTAAAGGCTCAACATGATGCCAATGACAGCCAGAGGATTTCGGTGGACGAAGTAGTTGATGATTGCAAGACGTTTTACATGTCCGGACAAGAAACTACTACTACTTTGCTTTCTTGGACTGTGTTGCTTCTGGCAATCCATACAGATTGGCAAGAGGAAGCAAGAAAGGAGGTCATACAATTATTTGGCAAAGAAACTCCACATCCCGATGGCATTTCCAAACTGAAAACAGTAAGAAAGTCAAGAACACAATGAATTCCTCTTGTAAGTGGCAGAAATATATTCTCAATTAAAATTTTAAATCCTGATTTGTTACCTCTGTTTCATTTTCATGCAGATTAGTATGATCATTAATGAGTCTCTAAGGTTATATCCTCCACCTGTTTCAATTATAAGGAAAGTTGAAAAAGAAGTTAGACTGGGAAAGCTCACTCTTCCTCCTAATCTTGACTTGGTTATCTCAACCATAGCAATTCACCATGATCCTGAAATCTGGGGACAGGATGTGCATCTTTTCAAACCCGAGAGATTCTTGGAAGGGGTTGCTAAGGCAACTAACAATAACATAGGTGCATTCATACCATTTGGATTGGGACCTCGAACTTGTGTGGGCTTGAACTTTGGCTCCACTGAAGCAAAAATTGCTCTGTCAATGACTACTCATTCACCCTTTCCCCGGGTTATGTTCACTTTCCCTTGCATTATCTTACAGTTCGGCCGCAGCTTGGAGTTCAGGTAATGCTACACTCACTTTGAACTGCGAACACAATGATGTATGGATTGCGCCATGATTCTTGCGCTTGGTGTTGGTGTATCAAGTACCTGGACATTGATGGCTTTGGATATACTGCTAGCTTATAAACAGTGCAAGTGATACACTGATTGATTGTCAAGAATTTTTATTAAAATAAATAACCAACATCAGCACAAATGTGTTAGTCCATAGTGCATTAGACCCTTTGCTGCCTTCCATTTTGTAATCAAAACTGTTGTTTCTTTTTGGTTCTTTTTTCTCATAGCCCCGATTAACAATATGTAGACAGATTGCGGTGCACTGATTTGATTATCGGAATTTATAGAATCATGTATTGGTTAATAGAAACGTCGGAACTTCCAGAATATTGACTGTTTGTTCATTGAGCTCGACTTTTTCAATTACCCCGATACGGTAAAATGTTGTTGAATATTCGATAAACAGTATAGCCGCGCGGCTATACGTTTTAACATATTTTTGTAACTTTTTAAATAAATATACTGGTAAATAGTTGACCAAAAAAAAAAATACTGGTAAATATAATAATAATATATTTCAATGGTATAGCCGGGTGGCTATACTGGGGTTTTTAAAAATTTCTTTGATAAGTAGAATAGCCGTGCGGCTGTATAGCTTGAGTACATTATACAAAAAGGTATAGCCGGTCGGTTATACTGGTGAACTTTTTTAAATAAATAATATAGCCGACCGGCTATACACATTTCACAAGTATAGCCGTGCGGCGATCCTGGGGTTTTTTTAAATTAATTTTTAAAATAAATAGTATAGCCGGCGGCTATACTGTTAAATATAATATATTTAAGAGTATAGCCAACCGGCTACAGTGGTTTTTAAAATTTTTTTAAAAATAATATAGCCGCGCGGCTCTACAGGGGGTTTTTAAATGTTTTTTAAAAAATAATATAGCCGTACGGCTATACAGGGGTTTTTTTAAAAAAAAATTTGTAAATAATATAGCCGACCGGCTATACTGTTAAATATAATATATTTTAAAAATATAGCCGTGCGGCGATCCTGGGGTTTTTTTTTTCTTAATTTTTAAAATAAATAGTATAGCCGGCGGCTATACTATTAAATATAATATATTTCAAGCGTATAGCCGCCCGGCTATAGTGGTTTTTAAATTTTTTTAAAAAAATCATATAGCCGCGCGGCTATACAGGTTTTTTTTTTTTTTTTAAATTTTAAATTTTGTAAATAAATAGAATAGTCGGGCGGCTATACGTTTAAATATAATATATTTCAAGAGAATAGCCGCGCTGCTATATTGGGTTTCTATTAATTTTCTAATAAATAGTATAGCCGCGCTGCTATGGTTTAAAACAAGAGTCAACAATCCCCAAGATCGTCGATTTGATACCATGCTGTTTGCCCGTTTTGCGTTTACTCCTGTGATGGAAGGGCAAAGTTCCCCACTGCCTTGAGAACCATAAACTGGTCGACAAGTCAGCTTTCTTTAGTGTGCGAGCGTGCCACTGCTAGCAATAAAAAATTCTAGCAGACTTAGTTTGGAATAGATAACTTGCGCCCCAAGTTACTGATTTCTGCAAACAAACGATTGTGAATTTGGGTGAGGAATATCTCCCAAGTAAGTTCTTTTCTTGCCTCAGACTGGTGAGGACTTTAACAATTTATCTCAGTATAAAGAGGTTGTTCTGGCCAGAATGGTTGATGGAATTTAAACTGTTTCAGGCAGAACTGATGGAATTTAAACTGTTTTTAGGCAGAACTGATGGAATTTAAACTGTTTTTAGGCAGAACTGATGGAATTTAAACTGTTTTTAGGCAGAACTGATGGAA